GATGTTTGGAAGTGTTTCATATGTGAATCGTTTTACTCAGAATTATTAATAATTTTCTCCTTTATTCTATTTTTATACATTGGAGATCAATATTTTTTTTATATTTAAATATATACAAATGATTAGTATTAATTATAATATTAATTATGATAAACTATTAATATTTTAATTTTATATTAGATTAGTAATTTTTTTTAATGCATGCAAATGATTATTACAATATTTTGTGATTTTTTTTATACATAATAAGATGATTAGTCTAGTTTTATGCATATTAATATTAACTTGTTTATATTTAGTTTTATTTTTATGTTAATTTACTAACCATTGTTTTTATGTTAATATACACAATGCCATCAGTTGAAGAATTTTCTATAGAAAGACTAGAAGGTGTTTCAAGCAATGATATTGGGTGGCATTTTGGAGCACCAATGACAAAAACTTGCAACAATGTCCAATATAAACTTTGTCAAAAACTAATAAGGGATGACATTACAAGACTGAAGCAACACATAGCACATGATAAAGGTCGAGTAGCAAGTTATCCAAGAGTCACGTCATTTGTTAAGGAGAATATGATGAAAATTCTCAAAGATTAAAAAAAAGGAAAATTGACTCTAGAAAAAGAAATGAAGAATTTGGATCCCTATTAAGAAAAGATGATGAAGAAGATAATGTTGAGGAGATAAGGATAACTGCACAATAAAACATTAGATCACAACATGAGTGAGAAGATAGACACCAATTCAGACAACAAACATGGGGATCTAATAACATCTATGAATCAAGTGGAAGCTCTCAAACAAGTGTTAGTCAAGCTTTAAGACAAAAAAAATACTACTTTTGCTTTAAGATCTACAAATATGGATCTTGTGAGAAGTAAAAGTATGAAATAACAAAAATAAGTGGGGGTCTTATGAAAACATTAAAAAAGAATCTCAAAGAAGTGGTAAGCAAGTTTATAATTTATGAGCTCTTACCTATAAATTTATCAATTTCTCCTTGGTTGCATAATTTGATTGTTGCAGCAGTTGAGGTAAGCCCATCAATTAAATGCCATACACCTTATGAAGTTTCTAATGTCTATTTAGAAGATGAATATAAAAGCATGCATGAATGGATAAACAAGTTGAAAACTACATGGAAGGAAAAAAAAAGTAACAATAATGTGTGATGATGGTTGGACAAATAGTGTGAATCATACACATTATGATTTTTTTGGTGTATTGTAGTAGGGGAACAATTTTCTTGAAATCTATTGATGCTTTTAGTGTTGGTACTAGAAATACTGATTACTACTTCCAATTATTAGATAAGGTTGTGGAGGAAGTGTAAGAAGAGTTTGTAATTCAAGTTGTTACACATAATGAAAAAAACACTTAAAGCAACTGGTCAAAACATTGTTTGGAGGATATAGGAAAAAAAATAATGTTTAAAAGTTATTAAGTGATGCAAAAGTAGTAACAACTTTTATCTACAATCACACATGGATTGTAAATCTCATGACAAAATACACTATAGGTAGAGAATTTGTTTGTCCTGGTGTTACCCAATTGGCAACACAATTCTTATAACTTCAAGCAAATGTGCAACAAAAGAAAGGCTTAAGGAACATGCTCAACTCTGAAATTTAGACGATCTAAATTTAGAAGAGAAAAAAAATGGACTAGCATTTGAAGACAAAATGTTAATGGTAGTGATTTTTTGGAGCAAGGCTAATGATATACTAAAGGTATTTGAGCCTTTAGTAAAAGTTTTGAGGCTAGTTGATGGTGATGAGAAGCCAACAATGGATTTTATATATGAAGTGATTGATTGAGCAAAACAATTAATTCAAAAGAATTATTGTTATTATTCTCAATACCAATAAATAATTGACATGTGTTGGAGATTCATGCATTTTGATCTTCATTCTACTGATATGTCATTATAATTTTACTTTTGTTATAAAACAATACATTCATACAATTATAGACACATATTGATTAACTATTTGTTTTTTAGGTTATTTTCTTAATCCATAATTTCAATGTGGAGTTGAACATGGATTTGATGTATATCAAAAGACATTTGATCAAGGGACCATTTTTGATCATTATGAGATTGGAGAGAAACATGAATGATCAAATTAAAGCCTTTTAAACTCAATTAGTAATAACTAATTAAATTTCATTTTTAAAATTATTGTTATATAACTATGTATTTATATCTTATATGATATAATTTTATATAGTTGACGTTGTTTAAAGACAAGGGTGAAACATTTGCTACACCTAAAGCTTTAAGAGCTTGGTCTAGAATGTATTTTTTTATAGATAATATTTTTATTTTGGCTTGTTCGTTTAAAAAGTTGAATGGTGGTTGGTGTTTGGTTCATGCATGCTCTCTTGAACTTCAATGTGTGACTATTAAAGTTTTAAGTCAAACAACTTCAACAACAAATTGTGAAAGAAAATAGAGTACATTTAGCTATATATATTCATACAAAGGCAAGGAATAGACTTAAGTATAGAAAGTTGCAAAAACTTGTCACAACATGAAATTGAAAATGAGGCATCAAATAAAAAAGGTAAGAAATTGAAGCAAGTTTCAATCCAATTAATCTTGGCTATATATTTTGAGAAGATAATCCATTATCTCCATGGATAGAAGAAAGATAAAATTCACTTTTAGATGGAGTTCAAAATTCAGAATGGTTGCTTTGAGTTGATATGGATGATGAAGATGTGGAAGATACAGATAATGATAATGATGGTGGTGACTTAAGCCCACCAAGTAATAATAGTTGTGATGATGGTGGCGATATTGAAGGTAAAGAAAATGATGATGAGGATGAACGAAGACAAAATGATCTATACTAGGAGATTCCATATGATAGGCATGACACAAATTTGGTAGTTGATTTCACTAATTTTATCCCAAGTACGATTCCTTTTAGTCGTTTATTAATTTCTAGGTAATAATAGAAAAGACAATTCACAAGTTAGGAGAGGAAAAAAAAAACAAAATGTGTCACATGAAGGTTCTTTGTCTTCTCATATTGAACAAAGCTTTAGTGACTTCAATATTAATGATTCTTCTAAATGTAGTTGAGGGTACTATCCATCATTAGTTTATCAGTATCCTTATTTTAATGCATATAATCAATATGCACATGACCAAGCCCCCTCATATCACCAACCATCAATGAATTATAATAATCTATACTATCAAGAACAAAGTGGTGGATCTTTTTATTATGTTTTGAACAAGGAGCCAAAATGGGGATAACCAAAGTGAGAGTGGAGGTTATGTTCATCCTCGCCACTCTACTATGTGGTAATAAGTATGAGTTAAAATTTTACATGTAATTTTTTATTTGGGAAAAAATACTCATGCTTTTTGTAGTTTTCCAACATTAATTAAGACTTTTTTTTTCCATATTTTTCCTTATAGTGAAATGCATCTTTGAAGGGTGACATTATTTTTCAAGTAATTGATGACAGTTAAACTTGCAGGCATTCATGTTACTCTATACCAAGTCATTTCCTTTCTTTGTTTTTCTGTCTATTTGAAATTTGTCTAGATATGTGTACCTTTAGATTTTTTATTTGTTTAATGAGATAATCTATTTTTGAGGAATTATGACATATATTAAGTGAGAATTAATCCAACCACTATTGTGTTTCTCTTACTTTTAAATTAATTTTAAAATAAATTAAATTATTTATTAAAATAATAGATTTTTTAAAAAAAGAAATAAAAATGAAAATCATTAAAAATAAAAATATATTAATAATTATAGATTTTTTATATTTAATATAAATAATTAATAATTTCACGCTGTAATAATTACAATTCGCAATGTAATAGCCGCAATATCCACAGCTACAATGATTACCACAACAATCACGATCATAACCACAATTTAAAATCATTGTTAATAATAAAGAGATTGACCTTGATTTTCTTTTCCTTACAAACAATGAAGGCAACTATCTATTATATTTGATTTGGGATATGATAGTTTTGTTTTGTCTTGTTTATTTGGGGCTTCACTATAACTATTTCACTTCTGATGTCTTCACTACTACAAGACATGTTATCTACATCGGTTCTTTAACACTATCTACATAGGTTCTAAAACCAATGTAGAATGGAGTGACTTAGTAAATGTATACCATTTTACATCGGTTTTAAAACCGATGTAAATTTGTGTATAATTTTACATCAGTTCTGTGTATAACCGATGTAAATTTGTAGTTCTTCACAAAATTGATGTAAAATTATACACAAATTTACATCGATTATACGCAGAACCGATGTAAAATTATACTCTCATTTACATCTGTTCCTGTCTGAACCGATGTAGATTATTAATTTATTTTTTTTTAAATTTTGTTTGATTTTAGGTTCCTTCTAATTTAACCTGTAATAAACACATATATAATTCTCTGCCAGATTTTTGAAAATGTGCATGAAATTAAAAAAATTAAACAAAACCCACAAACAAATCAAAATAGACAAAAAGAACAAATTGACTTACACAAAAAATACACTATATGGCATATGTAATTAATTTTAGTTTTCATCTACAACTAATGAGGAAAAATCCTGAAAATGAAGGTTATAAAACTTGTCCACCAAAATGACAATAACAAACCATATTAAAGGATGAAACAACCCACTATGGCATGGTATTTGTTCCCAGGCAGCTATTATAAGCTATTTGTCTTCACCTAAATCAACAATATATCTAACAACAATTCTAGTCCTAAAATTTATACGATCACTGTCATTCTTTTATGTGATCACCCTCATTCTTTTATACTACTATAATTTTAAAGAAAATAAGAGCAACAATAATTCCAGCCCTAAATGTAGCCAATTTCTCCAATCATCCAACATCAACCAGTTAAACTTGCAGCAAAATCATGCTAAGGAGAATGCCAATAAAAAAAAGGTATATTGTAACCAAGAAAATCAGCCAAGTTAGTAGAACAACTTGATAAAATTGAACATCTAGTAGAATACCAAATCAAAAATAGAAACTAAAATTTGATATAATACAAACATAATAACGAATAAGTATAGCAATACAACATCAAATCAACCAGAAATAAAAACTAAAATGTGATCTAACCGTCCACGTAACCAGAAACCAAAATGTAACATCTCATAAAAAATCATGATCTATTTCTAAATTTTTCTAAAAAGAACTTTGCCCATTGACTGCGAATGTCTTCCAATTTTGTTTCTAGCAATGGTGCAACATCGTCAAAAAGCTGTAACATACATGATGATATTAGTTACATCATAATCATTAAAAGAAATTAATCAATATTATTAAAAATAAAAGAATTATATTACCTCGATCCAATCAGTTGTTACTTCTCCTTCAATTATGTCCAACATCCAATTCATCACGTAGTATCCACATTCATAATGTCCTTGTTGCATATTACTCTAAAATGAATATCAATTTGAGTTGTATAAATAATTTTTTAATTAAGCTAATAAAAAGCAATTTTTAGGTATATTGAGGTAACAAACCACTTACCATGGGGTAAATCCAATCTAGGTTCTTTGGTTGTGCTGTAGATCTACCACTCATAACATTATACACAACCATAACACTAAAGAAAATAAATCCAAATAAGTTACATGATTAAAATTTATAATAGAGAGCATAAAGTTAATACATGTTACAAATTAAAGTTTACCTTTTTATTAAATTTTTGAATTGTACATTGGGCTTACGATGCAAAGAACAAAACCAGATTGCAACATTGTTTGTAGGACAAAGAACCAAGAGCTGCCAATGATTTCTATATTGAGCCACAATTAGTTACACAACATATACATAAAATAAATGCAATTAACAAACATGCACTTACTGATCGACATAAGGAGCCAAGTAAATTTGCTTTGGTGAAGTTTTTATCCTTTCATTGATATAATTTTGAGACTCAGCTTTTTTATTCCCTGATTTTTGTATTGTCTGGGGCTCAAAAAATCCATACAAGTCACCATGGCCAAGCTCCTCAATTTTTTGATTCAGATATCTGAAATATATGCAAAAGAAAGAATTAATTATGAATGCATCATAGTTAAAAAGATAATGATACTAAGAATTGTGTACTTACAACATCCATAATTGTATGATTGAGATGTTGAGCATTTCACGTTGTATTAATTCATATATATCTTGAAATGAAATATACAACTTAAAATCATGATTGTTGACACCAAATAGACTTGCAGGACATATCACCTGAAATGATTAGATTGGGTAAGTAAAAAATCTAAAATAAAAATATGTTAAATACTCTTCATATTAGTTAGATAAGTCACCTGAAATGGTTGGCCATAAAGTAAGGACTTTGATGCCTCACGCAAGTCACTAATAGGATCACTATTAGGTTTTGACCTATCAGGAGGTGGTACTCGTATGTTTTCTCCATCAATTCCCTATACAATGATCAAAAATCAAATATTGATATTAATAAGCAAAAATATGTATTGGTAAATAAAAATATTAATAATGAAAACCATAGGTTAAAAATATATACCGTGGTTGAAATATCTCTCACAAGATGTCTCGGCCATGAAATGAAAGTCTGTAGGGCCTGTCCAACCAATTGAACCTCTGAAGTAGGTACGGGAACTGGAGCATTAGAATCTCGAACTTGCTCAACAACCACCTTCACCAAATCATTTGTCAAAGGCACATGGTATATGACTAAACTCCCCTCATAAACTCTACCAATGGCCACTACACGAGGAGGAATCTCATCAATGCATAACTCACATTGATTGGAGATATCAGCATGAGGCTCACCCCCAAAGGGATTACAAACAATAGTAGCACTTGAAGGAGTTGGACAACTACCTTTAGTGCTAGCACGAGCCACCATAGCATGATCTACCTCAACTGGAGGAACATCATGTGACTGTTGAGCACTCATATTTGGGTACTTTGACATTAAACTTTGTGTGACTCGTATATATATTTGTTGTGTGAGGGCTTCAAAATCCTGGGGGCTCAATTTAGATAAGGATGAGCCTTTTGACAATGGTCCAAAGTAATTACTAATAGTAGCACCAGCCCCAGCTGTACGAACACGACCAGGGTGCTCTGGTCGCCCAAGGGCAGTAGTCAATATATCTTGACGACCTTCGGGAATAAAAGAACCTTGTAATGTTTGCTCCTCCAACTCATTCTACAATAAATAAACTTTTTTTATAATATATCCTACAATAAAAAATTCTACAACAAATCTTAAGATAGGTAATGAGATTTTTTTATAAAAAAAAATACTTACAATTTTTTCTGCAACTTGGTTAGCAGACTCAGAAGTCATCTCACCCGAACTTTTTGTGCGAGCCATGTTCCACAACCTATGGCATGAAGGAGGAGGTGGAGGATCAATCACTACATCCTCACTAGCACCAGATTGTATTGCTTCCTCCTTAAGTCTCTTAATTTCACTTTTCATAAAATTTCTCACAAGCAACTCATAACCCCCACGAGATAATAAGTGGGGAGCATTATTAAGTTTCTGGATATCTTGTGCTTTTTTTCTTACAAGCTGCAATAATTTAATAACCCCATAAGTAAAAGTGAAAAATAAATAAAAATATAATATAAATTTTAAAAACAATAAACACTACTTACCTTCCAAGAAGGGTCATTTCGAATTTCTTTAAATTTTTTCCATTCTTCAAGGTCAATATTATACTCATCAGAAGGACTTTTACCCTTGTATTTCCCATGTACCCACTCTCTTGTAAGATAAGACTTATGTTGCCTAAATTTTGTAGCAACAGATGAAAGCATTTTACTCTTCAATATATTAGTATCACTAATGTCATACACTCCCTACAAAACAATTTTAGATTTAAGAGTTAATAATAATAACATTAAAAATGATTATCATTTAGTCAAATTATGTAAATATAGTGGAAATACCAAAATATCCTGCCAAATCATGTTTTTAGTAGTTTGTGGGACTTCTTTCCAAGAAGGAACTAAAATACTAATCTTGTCTCTAGCAAGGGTTCCCAAATAACTTGAAAATTGAGCTTTGTTTGGCCCTGAAACTATCCCAGTAGTGGGATCCACATCAAGTGATATTTTGGGCCCTTTCATGCGCTTACGGGCTAAACTTTTCATTTGTGTCGGCTTTCTCTTTTTCTTAGATGTAGCCTGTGAAGTAGGGACTGTAGGAGCAGGAGAGTCTTGAGGAGCAGGGGAGCCTTGAGGAGCAGTGCTCGATTGAGTATCCATGTGTCTGTTTTGACAAAAAAATAACCAAGGTCAATTGGAAAAGTAATAAAATGAATTAAAAACATGAGAAAATGGATGAAAAGAATATTAAATTATACATCAAGATAAACATAACTTAATATAGTAATTAAATAGTAATGTTTTCTCATATGCCTTCATCATGGTCATTACGAGTGGCATGAACGTCGTCTTGCTCAATTTCTTCGTTTTTAGTAGGCATACGTGTTGAGAAAGAAAGACTCTCCCAAAATTCAACTGTTGAATCATCAACATTGTGTACACTTCTACCTTGTAGAACCACAGACCACCTTTCATCAATAGGATCTTTGACATAAAATACTTGTGTTGCTTAGTTTGCCATGATGAAAGGTTCATCCTTATGACCCACCTTGCTAAGGTCTACACTTAAAAACAGGAACTTTAAAGGCACCATAACTGATCTCCCAAATGTCTTCAATGACTCCATAGTAACTTGTGGATGCCACAATGGAATTTTTATCATTTCTACTAGAAAAATGCATGGATTGAGCCTGAAGAGTAACCCCACTATTCTGCATGGTACTATTGTCATCTTGTGACTTTGTGTAAAAGGAAAAGTTATTGATATCATAGTCAGTATAAGTAAAAACATTATATTTAGGTTCATTTGCAAGACATTTTAATATGTTAGAAACACTATCATCACTAAAGACTTTTTCTTTGAACCATTTTAAGAATGTCTTGTTATGCTCATTGACCAATGATTTTTCGTTCATTCTAGGGTTATTTTTCTTCAAAAGGGCTTGATGCTCAGATATGTAAGGAAGAACCTCCTCAATGTTGTTCAATATATACAGATGTGCTTGAAGTAATTTTTTTCGAAGAATGAATTTAACTTTTTGGCCTTTTGTACCCTTACCTTCATATCTATCCTCATGACGAGACTTAGGAATCTCTACAGGTTTTGCTTTGGACATGTAATCTAAACAAAATTCAATAGCTTCTTCTGCAATGTACCTTTCAACAATAAATGCTTCTGGACAGTATGGATTCTTGCTATACCCTTTTAAAATCTTCATGTAACGCTCAACTAGGTACATCCATCGTAAATAAATAGGCCACATAGTCTAATCTCCCTAATTAGATGAACAATCAAGTGAATCATGATGTCAAAAAAAGCTGGAGGAAAATACATCTCCAATTGGCATAGGATAATAATAGACTCATTTTCCAACTCATCCAACTTCTTAGGGTCAATTACTTTAGCACATATAGCATTAAAAAAGAAGCACAAACGAGTTAACACACTTCTAACATTATTAGGCAAAATGCCACGTATAGCCACAGGTAAGAGTTGTTGCATCAAGACGTGACAATCATGAGATTTTAAGCCAACCAATTTAAGATCGTTCCATGATACAAGGCTCTTAACATTTGAAGAGTATCCCTGTGGAATTTTCACACCTCGTAGACATTGACAAAAACTTGTTTTCTCTTTTCTTGACAAAGTATGACATGCTAGAGGCAAATATGTACGCTTACCTTTTGACCTTGGATGTAATTGTGAACGTATACCAATCTCTAACAAATCTTGACGAGCATTAAATCCGTCATTTGTCTTGCCTTTAATGTTTAAAAGTGTGCCTATTACACTATCACGTACATTTTTCTCCACATGCATAACATCTATGCAGTGTCTAATATCTAGATGACACCAATATGGAAGATCAAAAAATATTGACCTCTTCTTCCACAAGTTTTTCTCAATTGACTTCTTTTGGATCTTTCCAAAGATAATATTTATGTCCTTGACCTGATCATAAACTTGCTCACCAGTTAAGGGTATCGGTGAAATTTCATGCTCTTGACATCCATTAAAAGCTTTTTCAATCTCCGATATGGGCAATTAGGTTTGAGAAATTTTTGATGCTTAGTGTAAACAATTTTCTTTCCATGCTTTAGTCGTAGGTAGCTTGTCTGTTGTTGACAGATAGGGCATGCGTGATGTCCTTTAACACTATATCCACTCAATGTCCCATATTCTAGAAAATCATTAATAGTACAAAAAATCATTGCACCCACCTGGAAACTTTGTTGACGATAACCATCAAACACATCACCCCCTTCTTCCCACAAAATTCTCAAGTCCTCAATCAAGGGACTTAGATAAACATCTATGTCATTTCCTGGTTGTCTTGGGTCTGCAATCAGCATACACAATATCACATATTTTCTCTTCATGTACAACCAAGGAGGCAAATTGTAAATTGAAAGGAGAACAGGCCATGAACTATGGTTGGTGCTTAAGTTACCAAACAGATTCATTCCATCTGAAGCAAGTCCGAGCCTAAGGTTTCTTGCCTCACTACCAAAATCTGGAAATAACCCATCAATTATTTTCCATTGTGGAGAATCAGCCGGATGCCGAAGCATGCCATCACAATTTCTATTGTCTGCATGCCATGTAAGGTTCATTGCATCAGTTGCATTAGCAAACAATCGCTTAAACCTTGGAATGATTGGAAGATACCATAACACCTTTGCTGGGCCCCCCTTTTCATATACATCTTCATCACTACTACCACCACCATCCTTCAGTTTGTACCGTGATAGCCCACAACAAGGACATTTGTGCAATGTTTCAAACTCTTTTCTATACAATATGCAATCATTAGGGCATGCATGTATTTTCTTATACTGTAGACCCATTGGACACAAAACCTTTTTCGCCTCATAATGACGGTCTAACAACGTGTTATCTTTTGGAAGCATTAACTTCAACAACTCAAGCAATTTTGTGAAAATTTTATCACTCCACCGATATTTTGCTTTCAAATTCATCAATCTTAAGACCGTTGATAATCGTGTGAAGGTTGTACAATCAGGAAACAAGGGTGTCTCTGAGTCACTTTTTAAATTATCATACACATGTGAATGTGTTTGTTGGAAAGACTCTTGTCCCACATCACGAATCATGTCCTCTATTTGATCTTCCATTTCTACATCACCTTCCTTAGTATGAGACACTGTTCGAGTTTCTTGATCTTCACCATGCCATATCCATGTTGTATAGCTCGTTAAAAACCCAAAATAAGGTGGTCCCGTATTTCATCAATTTCATGTCGTCTCCCATTTAAACAATTAACACAAGGACAATAAAATTTTCCATTTAAATTTGTTCCATTTCGTTGAGCAAATTCCAAAAATTGTTCAACCTCATTTTGATACTCATCACTGATTCTTCTTGCATTCATCCAACTATGGTCCATTTTTCTTCTGTGGCAAAAATTTATTTACACAATTCAATTTTTATGGTGCCTCTATATAGTACAATAGCAAATCATATACTAAATCAATGTTATTTGAAGCTATTATTTCATTTATCTAAGTAGGTAGAAGATCCAAATATAAGTCATCTTATTTCATCAACTACATAAATATAATTCATCTCATTTCTTCAACTAGATAAATAAATTAGATATATATAATTCAGTTTAAGGTACCTTACTAAGAAGATATGACAAACTAGATCTGTTGACTAATGAATGTCAAGAAGAGAAGTATCACCCTCTACACACTTCCTGCCAAATCAAAATCAAGTTTAAGAATATTAAAATGTAACTTATAAATAATTATAATAAATAAAAATTAAATTAAATATAAAGTTTAAAAAGGTTTTACAAATTTTGTCACATAAAATAGCAGTTTGTGTGTTATATATGAGTTATTGTAAATTAACCATACAAAATATGGGTTAAACTCTTTAATTGTTTTTCTTTTTATTATTCAATTTTTCAGCCAATAAAAAAGATATGGTGTTTTACAATTGATCATGAATCAACAAACTTCTCTATTGCTGATGGGTTTCAGCAGTTTAGCTTCCTGCACTTATGAAACAACACTAAAATTACAACTAATGTTTCAACATGTGGTAAAAAAGAGAAATCTACCAATTTACTGATGTTATGAGGTAAAAGTCAGCTGTACAAGTTAGAAGCAAAGTTTTAACTTCAGATTCCTTCCTAAAATAATTTCACCAAATTAATCTATTAGTTTTTAATATAATTAGTAACAAAAAAAATTATATAATACGGCTTTTTGTCAAGTGGTATGATTCTTTGAATACTTCACACTATAAACATCATAATACAAGGGGATGCTAATCTAAAGAATGATGCTAGCTAGCCTGATTAGGCCATTACATAGAATGGTCCACCTATTTGACTGCCAAGCTTTGCATCACGTGGAAGACTCATGGAATCCTATTTTACTGATGTGTTTAGTCTGTGAACTTTTGTCAATTTTCATTTTTAGTCTCCGTATAAATTTTATTCATCTTTAGTTCTCCAAATTTTTATACATGAATTAAAAAAATTTTGACACCTAATGGGAGAAAAAGGTTTAAAGACTACAAGTGAAAAGTGTCAAATGTTCAGAAACTAAAATTAATAGAAAAATTGTTCAAGAGCTAAAAATAAAAATTGACAAAATTTCAAGTATTGAAAACATTTACTTCAAGAAAGCTTATTCTTCAAAGATTTCTCCCTTATTATGTTTATTTGTATATATTGAAAGAGTTGTGCTGCTTCAATATTTTACCAATTATTTTAAGTCTTTAATCTAAGAATATATCAGATATATGTGTTGGAGAAAGAAGATGGTTAGATAGTAGTTACCTTTTCAATGAAGTCGATGGTTTTGCTATCTGTTTCTACTGGTCTAAGATAGTCCCCTTCTCGTTCATACCCTCTAATTCCAACGTATTATTTTTGACCCTTTCGGAGTTGACATTGTCATTCTCTGTACCTGTTATTTGTGGCGATACACGTGTTGAGCCTGGCGTTTGGACCGTTGCACGTGTTGAGCCCAAAATAAATCTATTACATGTGGTTAAGCTTGAAGCCCGAAGTATATTTGGACCTCGTAATGGGAAACCCCTCCCCCAAGCACATGGAAGTGACGTTCTTCAGCTTGATGTAAGGTTTAGCCGACCTACTTCCCCATTTCCTGAACCTTGTTTTTGGTGCCCTTTTCCTGATTGTTCTTCCATATCCACCTTTTTTCCTAACACAGTACCGTCCCCCCTCACCAACTCCCTGAAGCTACCTCGTTATAGTATACTTTTCTCTGTGTTGTCTGACTTATCTTTTGCATTGACGGCTACACTTTTCATTGTTTCACTGCACGCCACCTTTGAAACTCCCGCCATCCATGAATTTGAATTTAAACAATCTGACCTAGCTCCGCCGTTGGTTCTACCTGCTGGAGATATGTCCTGGGCAAAAGGATTGCCATCCCAGTTCTCCTCTTCTTCTATCGTGTTTGAGATAGAATGTAAGTCCCCACCGCAAACACTTTCATTAGATTGTAAGATCTCTGAGTTGTCCCTCCATAGGTAACACTTGCAATTTGGGTATAACCCCCCTGTGTTCGACTAGTCTGATTTGTGTTCGTATTCCATTGATCTTGAACCAGGAATATTGTTGGATGGGTAGTTGTGATGAAGTTTTAATAAGCTGCCTCGCGCTCTCAATTGTCTTGAACGTGGTAGTATCTGAATCCACCTTAACCAAAGACCCTTGGATTCACACCACTTGAGAAAAACATTGTTCATTCCACATATGCAAAGGAACCCCGTAACACCTCACCCACGTTAATCAGGACCCAGGCAATGTTGTCGGATCCCATCGGTTAATATCATAAAACAATGCCCAAAACTCACTATTTTCTCCCTTCTCCGCTTCCATAAGATCCATCTCCTACAAGCCTGAAATCAAGGTTCATACCCTCTAATTCCAACGTATTATTTTTGACCCTTTCGGAGTTGACATTGTCATTCTCTGTACTTGGTATTTGTGGCGATGCACGTGTTAAGCCCGGCGTTTGGACCGTTGCACTTATTGAGCCCAAAATAAATCTATTGCATGTGGTTAAGCTTGAAGCCCGAAGTATATTTGGACCTCGTAATGGGCAACCCCTCCCCTAAGTACATGGAAGTGACGTTCTTCGGCTTGATGTAAGGTTTAGCTGACCTACTTCCCCATTTCCTGAACCTCGTTTTTGGTGCCCTTTTCCTGATTGTTCTTCCATATCCACCTTTTTTTCCTAACACAGTACCGTCCTCCCTCACCAACTCCCTGAAGCTACCTCGTTGTAGTATACTTTTCTCGGTGTTGTCTGACTTATCTTTTGCATTGACGGCTACACTTTTCATTGCTTCACTACATGCCACCATTGAAACTACCGCCATCCATTGAATTGTATGATTCCATGCTTTTGTGTGAAATTGCATGATTATGAATTCTGGAAATGTAGGTTAATGCCAAGGGTCCCAGGCGTGGTTCTTCACACCGAGTACAAATTCATGGTTTGGGAACTAGGTTCCCAAGGACTCCTGCACCAGGAGCGAGTTCCCTGGAGGGCATGCATTAGGTGCATGTAGAGCTACATCGGGTGGGTTTCTCTGCTTTAGATGTAACGTTAAAGTCGTCAAGTGTGCTTAGGGGCATGCCAGGCAATTGAACTGCAACCGATTGTTCTGGGCTAATTATGAGATCATTGAGCCAAGAAACAATGGGAAAGGGCCAAGGTGTTAGGGGTGACCTATGAAGGTGATGAGGGGGTGATTGTGGAGCAGTTTGGTAATCTGGAAAATAGAGACATTCAACAAGCTAAGATGTTACAACATTAGACACATGAAGGGGTTAACATTAGTGATCAATGAAGATTATTTCATTTAATGTTAGAGGTCTCAGAAGTGAGACAAAGCATGGTATCATCAGGAAGCTGGTCTTGAAACATAGGGTGGATGTGCTATGTGTACAAGAAACAAAGAAGGAGGTTGTCACGGAAGCGTTGTACAAGAAACTATGGGGTTGTGGAAAGTGCGAGTGTTGTTGGGCCCCTGAAAATAATGCTGCAGGAGGATTATTATGCATTTGGGATAGCCGAAAACTTGAGGTAACATCTCAAATTGCAGGTCAAGGGTATTTGGGCTTGGTTGCCAAATGGATTGTGACTGGAGATAAAAAAGATATTGAGTTGTAGGATTTGGTTAAAAAGAAAAAATTGAAAAATTTGAATCCGACTAATTTCATTTGTTTTAAAATAAGGTTATTATTTAAATTATAATAGGTAAAAATAATTAAAAGAATAAAGGAAAAAAATATATTAGCTTCTAAAAAATAACATACGTGCAGAAAAATTTACCAATGTCCTTACTAAGATCATCGACTCATTTTAATTGATTCTGAAAACAATATATTTACTAATTATATATTTTTTAAGTACATCAATAGAACAACCTTGTGGGTTATTTAGTTGGTCTAGAACAATAGGTTCATGTTTTACCCCCTTGTTGCTAAGTAGAAACCAAGGTGCCTCTATGATGCTAAAAGTTACGCAAAAGCATTTCTTATGGACGACTAACTAACCACCCAAAAACAGTTCCAAAACATGAAACCAAACTTGGAAGATTTAAAACAATCAAAAGCTAAAAAGAGGTAATTATAGTCTAGAAGAGAAAAAGAAGACGAAGAACTGTGGGAATTAAGAGTTCCAAAAGTCACTAAACAATACAATAAAAAGAAAAGAGATTTTATTAACATCAAATGAGAGGCTTCCCTTTGATCCTTACAAAGTAGATCTAACTTCTGATACTCAACTTGTAGGCACAATCCTTTTCTTTTCCTAGTAAACTGGCAATACGATAATTACCCTTCACAAAACCGGTTTCAGATTATCACAAAAACAAAAACCTCAAAATTAACATCAAAAGTTTTTCTTCCAAGCTTCATGAAACTCCAAAACACCATAAAAGTAAGAGCAAGCAGCACAATAATTAAAGAAAAAAGTGAAGAAGAAAAAAGCAACAGAAGAATGGGTTAAATGCATGGAGGAATTAGAAGAAAGTGCATATGCAAAAATAAATTACCAGCTTCTGAAGTTTCTGATGAACGTAGTTTTGAGGATCCGACAAGGCTTCTAATAGTGCATTCAAAGAATACAATGCGTTCAATTCTTCCAAAACAAACCCAGAAAAATAAAAGAAAAATTCATTAGAAGAGGGCTTGAATGCATTCACAAAGAAAATGGAATACCCTAGTTCTCGAGGACCTACGGTTGTTGCACGAGAGTAGACGATCAGTTGAGGAACACTCAAAGAAGATTTCGCCAATCAAAGAACTTCCTACGCATGGAGTTGGAAAATCGCGCACTGAGAAAGCACGAGATCAAGCTGGGGCTTAGAAATGTCTTCCAATTCTACATCGAACTATGTAAAATAATAATGTCTTACATCGGTCACTACGAAAACCGATGTAAAACTGCTTCATATGTAAATATAGTGACCGAATAGTATTTTTGTAGTAATGCCTGATGATATTAATATTTTTTATTTAATTTTTTTCCTATGTTTTTTCATAATAGAAAAGAAATAGGTGTGGAGCTATTGTTACTTTAGTTGTGTAGGTTAGCAAACTAGAAACCAAACCTAATTTATGCCAAGGCTAGGAATGAAAAAGTGAAATGGAAACAGAGATGGCAAAATTTTGATCATTTTACTTGCTAATTTATTTCTGTTCAGATTTTTACATTTCCCCGTATCTGGCTGGCAGGGTTGCTAAACTTGTATCATATATTTATGATATATTTTTTTATTTCTTTGAAATATGCCTTATGAGACGGGGCAGTTGATTATAAGATAATTTGTTATTAACCCATATAGCTAGCTGATAAGAACCTATGTTATTGCTTAAATTTCAGATTTTGGTTGCTTTGTCTCTTGCAGCAAGGTTTGTACGTATGGCTTGGGTCTGTTTTGACAGTTCTGATTTTTTCTGGTACATGCATCAATGGTGGGTGGCTCATTTAAAGTGGATCTAAATGGCTCTGATACCATGTTAGAATAGTGGATTAAGCCTAACTCAACACTACCAAACCGACTTGTAAGGTGAGAGCCGTTTTCCACTTATATACTATTCAATTGTTTAATCTCTAGTCGATGTGGGGCTTGGGTTTTTCCCAATAATCACAAGTAGCAATCTCCAATTTGATTTTTAGAAAAAAAAAAAAAAAAAAAAAAAAATAATTGGACCAAGTTTGATATTGGAAATATGAAGATAAAACTTTAGATAGATATTGATGATATGATAGAATTAAAATGAGATTAGCAGTGGACTTATACCACTGATACTAGGAAAAGAATATTTGTACATGGACTCATGATATATTGTAAATAAATGTATATCTCATCACGTATATTTGTCCCAAAGTCCTATATTTATTATTACATTTGATTTGTAGTATATCTAATGCATCTTTGAAAGATTATTGTACCGAAAGAAATTTGAAACATATATCTACATCAATTTAATTATGCAAATTATATTATAGAGTGTTTTATCAAGTCAAAGAATTAATATTAGATTTGTTTACCTAATACCAAAGAGGGATCCATATTTATGATTGTTTTTCGGGGAATAAGACACGAAGAACCTAGAATGAGTATTTCCCTACAATTATGTTAATGCTATTAATTAAGAACAAATTTGAATACATATTTAGAAATATTTTTAATTTTTTTTAATTAAAAATAATATAGAATAGGTGAAACTTTTTCATTTTAAATTTAAGGCATGAATATTGAATACATATCGTGATACATATACATTAGACTCAATTTCATTAAATAAAATCTCTTATATATATAATTGTAATTAAGGAGATCCCATCCTACACAATATTCTTACGTATTTACTATATTTAACGAAATAAAAATAACAAACTAATATAAATCAAACTAGTATTTAATCGGCAATGTGTGCAAGCACAAAGATAACATATATTGATCGATATAAATGAAGAACACACCAGAGACAGGTTTTGAAACTTGGTTTCAATCATTTAAAGAATTGCAAGCCATGCATGAAATGATATATATATATATATATATATTTTGTTGAGAAAGAGGGGGAATAAAAGCCAACTTGCGTCATGATAATTTATGTGCCGAGTTGCATGCACGGAGAACTAATTACATTATTTGTCATGCAGTATGAAACATCCAATCGCATTTATATTTATGGTGTCACAGCAATCTTAAAAGTCAACATTATTGTTCTCAACTCAAACTAATTATAGCAAAGTGAGAGATGTGACAATGCATATCCTCGTTGAGGCCATTGCTCTTACATTCTCCCACAATGTCATTATCTCTCTTCAACACGGAAATGCAAAAAGACAAAGGGAAACCGATCGACTAGCTTCTCATGATAATTTTGGAAATATAAGTTATAAGATAAGACTGAATTAAATTAAAATGATCGACGTCAGGGTCGTGTTTAGAAGTTCTGAGAGCTTAGACAAATCTTTTGTTTTAAGTTGTATTTATTTTATTTATCAGAATCTAAAATCTATATACATATTAATCTAAAAGATAATCAAGTTTTTTTAGCATCTCAATCTATGGTCATTTATTTAATCACTACTTGCAATACAGTTTATGTCAATTTGAAATAACTTTTAATTTAGAAAGAAAAATTGAGAATAACTACGTATGTTATTGATTTTTTAATATTTTTCTAGCACCTAAAATTTAGAGAGAGAGAGAAAATCACTTCATCAAATTAATGCATACTAATTTTTAAGATTAACAAAATAATTTTTTTACAATTCATCTACTTTTAAAATTCACACATATCGAGATTCCGATAAAAAAAAGTTTAAAGTAATTTTATATATTTTATTAAAATAAGCTTTGAATAAAGGAAAACAATTTCATTTGATATGTAAAGAAAATAATTGAAACTAAAAGATTTATTCAAACAATTTCCTTTGATATGTATAGAATATAATTAAAACTAAAAGAATTAATTTTGAACTGAACGTGTGATATTATTACTTTTTTTTTATCAATAATACTCTATTCATAAAAAAATTAAAAATTAATCTCAATATCCAATTTATGTACTTTTTGTTTTAACGTAAGTAAAATAATGTTGCATATATTATTTTAAATGAGTAATAAAACTTCTCATATGATCCATACTATATTTGTTTATATGTATACGTATTTTTAAGCTATATACACTTATTAATAAATTAAATATAAATAACACAATAAAATTTATCAATGAATAATTAATAAAATTATTTTTTAAAATATGTATGGAAGTTAAAAATTTAAAAGGGCCCTAAGGCTACTGCCTAGTTGGCCTTGCTGCCCTTGCAGCAGCCACAGCTCTATAGATCACCACCAAGTAAATGTTTCTTGTTCTTTCTCAACTTCACTTGCCTATAAATAGACAACATTCAAGCCACTTCCTTCACATCGACATATATCTACTAGTTTTCTACAAGTTCACAGTGAGTTCTGAAAAATGGGTTCCAAGGTTTTGCTTGTTCTAGTTATGTTCATGGCCACTATACTTCTGATCTCCTCTGAGGTTGCACCCAATGAACACGAGAGTTTTGACAAAAAAGATGGTAATTCTGTTCATATTTTTTCTGCATTAATTAGAGATTTTGTTGGTTGTAACTCGCGTGATAATTTGATGATAGCACTTAGTATACTACCAAAAAAAAATCGTTATTAGGGGCATCCCGAAAACGTCCGGGTCAAAATATGATTTTCAAATTAAGTTCTAAATTAATGGATTCTGCCAAAGAGAATGGCGATGCCATACACAAAAAGGAAGAGCTAGACTCATAGAATGACAGAGGCAAATAGAGCTTTTGCGCATTTTCGTTAATCTATGAACAGGATCTATATAGACACATAGACCCATGGATCCATACATCTCGATTGAAAAAGAATCGAAATGGATGAATATAAAGTTGTTAGAAGAATCCTATAAAGTCTTTCCACGAGCTAGGACTAAAAGTTTAATTACTTTGGAATAACAACGTGCTAATTTCACCGAGAAGTGTATGGGATTTTTAATCAATATATTATTGGTATAAAATATTCATTAATTTTTTTTTAATTTATTATTTATTATTTTTTTATATTCGAATCTCAAATCTTACGAGGAATTATTAGATAGTTTAGAAACACCAAGTATTTATGATCACAATTAATCACTATATGACATGTATTTAAGATTTTTAATTTAAGAGAGTAAATCAATAACATTTGATTATACACTAGTGCAAAATAACAATTTTTACTACAAAAGTTTATGTTAGTTGTAATCCACAAGATATAGTATGTGATTTATTTACAAACTTGTAATATTTGTCGACCTTTTTATATAGTGTGTATTTTTAACTGGCATTAAATATTTTATTTATAATAATGATTTGTCATGTAGAAATTAATTACGAACCATGTAGATCATGACTATTTAATACTTTTCTTTATTTAGAGAGATCAAGTTCAATTTTACCGATGTTGACACTTAGTACAAACTTTTTGATTAAGCATTGAGGAAGTCATTACTTAATTATTATTTTAATTGTTTTGTTTGTTATAGGGAAGCATGTTCCAAATGGGGTAGATGAAAGCAAATGGGGTTATGGGGGCTGGGGTAACCCTTGGTATGGTGGATGGGGTAACCCTTGGTATGGTGGTGGCTGGGGAGGTCCGTGGCGTGGTGGTGGTTGGGGAGGACCATGGCGTGGTGGTGGCTGGGGAGGTCCATGGCGTCGTGGCTATGGTGGTTGGCGTGCCCCTAATGAACATGTTGAGGTTGGGATTGATGCTAACCCTCGCAACTAAGAACAAAACTTGCTTACTTTATGTGTGGTTCAAGTTATCAAAATAAATAAAACCCTGTTAAAAGGGTTTAGTTGTAATAAAAGTGGAAATCTTGCTCTCTACGCTCTTTGTGATATAAAGGAATAGTAGTTTTATTTAATGTATTTCATTATCTTAATGTTTTTTTTCTTCCTTTTTTGCTAAACTTAAATAAATCTAATTATTTAAATGTGTAATTTGTTTCATCCAATAACACAATTAAGGATTTTGATAGAATTGAAAAACCTGACGTCGGATTATGTATTATAGTTCGTTAACAATTAACCTAGATCAACTTGATTCCTAAGAATTCAACTGGTTAAGTAATGTTTTCTAAAGAAGGAAAAGTGAAGTACAATTTTCTTGTTAGAGAGGTTAATTGACGACAACAATAAATTCTATTCATAAAATGAGGTTATTTTATGATATTTATGAATTCTCACGATTTTACTTTTGATTATCACCTAAAAGGCCTCTTAATTATTGAAGTATGTATGTATTTTATAAGTTGTTATTTCTCTTCTTATTTTATCAATATTATTATGAATAAAATGATTATATTTTTTCTTTTTCCTATAACTAAATTCTTTAAGTCAGTTACAAAGTAATTTGAGATTAACTATTTAGATATAAAATTAGTTAGTTACAATAAAAGTTTGTTTAGTTTTTATTTTTGTTTTAACAACTCCAATATCTTGTATATATACATTTTCTGTAATTCCCTTTCAAATAATGTGTTGATCAATGGGCAAAAGTATTTTGCTTCTCAATCACTAATATGGTATCATCGCTTGGAATGATCTTTCTCTTCCGCGTAACAATCTGTTTCTTTGATTGAAAACTCACAGTCCTTTGTGAAATCCTTGATCAATCATGGTGAATTCCGATGGCAATTCTTTGAATCATTCTCTCTTACGATCATCTTGTAAACCCTGCTAATCCCTTTTTTCTTCATCCTGGAGAAAACCCTGCTCCCATTTTGGTGACTCCGCTACTTTCTAAAGCATGTCCAGATTCAACTGATCCTCTTCAAGAAGCTTGGCACCGATGCAACAAGATGTTGATCTCCTGGCTTATGAGATCCATGACTTCTTCAATTAAACAATCTGTCATGTGGATGGAATCTATGTATGAGATCTGGTAGGATTTATGTGATCACTTTTCTCATGGTGATAAATTTTGAATTGTAGACCTTCAAGAAGGATTGCAAAAGTGCAAACAAGGTGATCACACTGTTTCTCAATATTACACACGTTTACGAATTCTTTGGAAAGAACTCTCAATGTATCATACATTTCTCGCTTCTAAATGTTATCCTATTTGTTCTTGTGGAATTCTACTGAAAATTCAAAAGAAGAGATATGATGACCGTGTCATTAAATTTTTTTGAGGTCTAAATGATGAATTTGCACAAGTTAGATCTCGGGTTATGCTCATGGAGCCTATGCCCGGTCTTATTTGCACTTTTTCACTAGTTCTTCAACAAGAATGAGAATTTGGAAGTTGTTACCCTTAAACGCCTTTGGAATCTACTGCTCTTACTAGTATTCAAAATGAATCAATGAAGAAATTTAATTCCGAAAGAGGTGGTTTCTCCAATGGTCGTGGTGGTGGAAAGTTTGGTAGAGGTTATGGTAGGAACACAAAATGGTGTTCTAAGTGCAAAAAGACAAATCATACTATTGAAACATGCTTCAAAATATACGGTTTCCTTGTTGGTTACAAGACTAATAGCAAATGTTCAACAGCTCCTTCAAATCCATCTGCTAATGTAGCTAATTCTAATCCATTTCTAATTCAATACATTCCTACCTTGGAGGTTGGTTCATCTTAGAACACTTTTGGTTTCTTTAAAGAGCAATGTCAGGCACTCTTAGCTCTCCTACAATAGTCCAAAGATTCCTCTCCTACTATGACCCATGCATATCATTGCACTGTGAATTCCACAGGTATTGATTATTTTCCACCTTCGTGGATTCTAGATAGTAGTGCCACAAACCACATTTGCCCTTCCAAATCTTATTTTACTACTTTCCATTCCATTAAGCCTATCTCTATTCGATTACCAAATGGCAATGCTATTATTGCTAATCATTCAAGAACTATTCACCTTGGTAACTTAATGTTACATAATTCTTTGTAGGTAATGCCTTTTTACATGACGATTTGGAGGAAGTATACCTACGACCTCCTCAAGGTTTACACTTACCACAACCTAATATTGTTTGCAAATTGCATAAATCTCTCTATGGATTGATATAGGCTAGTAGAAATTGGAATGAAAAACATATTTCAAAATATTCATGAGCTATAAAAAAAGCTCTGTCGATCATTCCTTATTCATCAAAATTCAATAATCTTCTATAACTATTCTTTTAGTGTATGTTGATGATATAGTTCTAAGTAGAAACAATTTTTAAGAAATAACTAAGGTTTAGCAGCATCTGCACAAGTAATTTCATATCAAGGATCTTGGACCTTTGAAATTCTTTTTAGGCTTGGAGGTTGCTCGTTCTAAAATAGGATTGGTTCTTAATCAAAGGAAGTATCGTTTAGAATTAATTGATGAAGTTGGTCTTCTTGCCTTTAAACTTGCTTTTACTTCAACAAATCTTGTTACTGAACTTCATGCAGATCACAGAACTTATATAGAAGATCCTTCTTCTTTTAGAAGACTTATTGGTAAATTGATTTATCTTACAAATGACACAATGAATTTTAATGACACTAATCTAACAATATATGAATTATACCCTAATATTGAATCATTTGTCTCAGAATCTGCTTTCGAGGTACCTCAATCAGTTTTAACAGATGCAGGTTCTGAAAATCTTGTTGCAACAAGGGTTTCTTTAAGAACAAACAAGACCTAGGTATTTGGATCAATATCATTGTTATACTCATGATTCTTCTAACACTACTTGCAACACCTTTTATCCTTTACATTTATATGTCATATGCTAATTGTTCTTCTGACCACATTTCTTTCTATCATTCTATTTCTGCACATATTGAGCCTTCTAGTTTGAAACAAGCTAGTCAACATGACTGTTGAAGACAGGTTGTGATGACTAAACTTCAGGCTTTAAAAAGAAACCAAATTTGGACTTTGATGAAGCTTCCTCCAAGAAAGCACACTATTGGATGCAAATGGGTTTATAAGATCAAACATACGATAAATGGCTCGATAGAGAGATACAAGGCTCATTTGGTTGCTAAGGGATTTACATAGCAAGAAGAGGTTGATTATTTTGAAACATTTTCCCCTTGTAGCCAAGTTTAGTATAGTGAGACTTCTTCTTGCTTTAACATTGGCACAAAACTAGTTTTTGCATTAGTTAGACGTAGGTAATTCCTTTTTACATGACGATTTGGAGGAAGAAGTATACCTACGACCTCCTCAAGGTTTACACTTACCACAACCTAATATTGTTTGCAAATTGCATAAATCTCTCTATGGATTGAAGTAGGCTAGTAGAAATTGGAATGAAAAACATATTTCAAAATATTCATGAGCTATAAAAAAAGCACTGTCGATCATTCCTTATTCATCAAAATTCAAGAATCTTCTATAACTATTCTTTTAGTTTATGTTGATGATATAGTTCTAAGTATAAACAATTTTTAAGAAATCACTAAGGTTTAGCAGCATTTGCACAAGTAATTTCATATCATGGATCTTGGACCTTTGAAATTCTTTTTAGGCTAGGAGGTTGCTGCAAATGGGTTTAAAAGATCAAACATACGATAAATGGCTCGATAGAGAGATACAAGGCTCATTTGGTTGCTAAGGGATTTACATAGCAAGAAGAGGTTGATTATTTTGAAACATTTTCCCTTGTAGCCAAGTTTAGTATAGTGAGACTTCTTCTTGCTTTAACATTGACACAAAACTAGTTTTTGCATTAGTTAGACGTAGGTAATGCCTTTTTACATGACGATTTGGAGGAAGAAGTATACCTACGACCTCCTCAAGGTTTACACTTACCACAACCTAATATTGTTTGCAAATTGCATAAATCTCTCTATGGGTTGAAGTAGGCTAGTAGAAATTGGAATGAAAACTTATTTGAAAATATTCATGAGCTATAAAAAAAGCTCTGTTGATCGTTCCTTATTCATCAAAATTCAAGAATCTTCTATAACTATTCTTTTAGTGTGTGTTGATGATATAGTTCTAAGTAGAGACAATTTTTAAGAAATCACTAAGGTTTAGCAGCATCTGCACAAGTAATTTCATATCAAGGATCTTGGACCTTTGAAATTCTTTTTAGGCTTGGCGGTTGCTCGTTCTAAAATAGGATTGGTTCTTAATCAAAAGTAGTATCGTTTAGAATTAATTGATGAAGTTGGCCTTCTTGGCTGCAAACCTGCTTTTACTCCAGCAAATCTTGTTACTGAACTTCATGTAGATCATAGAACCTATATAGAAGATACTTCTTCTTTTAGAAGACTTATTGGTAAATTGATTTATGTTACAAATGACATAATGTATTTTAATGACACTAATCTAACACTATATGAATTATACCCCAATATTGAATCATTTGTCTCAGAATCTGCTTTTGAGGTACCTCATTCAGTTTTAACAGATGCAGGTTCTGAAAATCCTGTTGCAACAAGGATTTGTTTAAGAACAAACATGACCTAGGTATTTGGATCAATATCATTGTGATACTCATGATTCTTCTAACACTACTTGCACCACCTTTTATCCTTTACATTTATATGTCATATGCTAATTGTGCTTCTGACCACATTTCTTTCTATCATTCTATTTATGCACATATTGAGCCATCTAGTTTGAAACAAGCTAGTCAACATGACTGTTGAAGACAGGTTCTGATGACTAAACTTCAGGCTTTAAAAAAAACCAAATTTGGACTTTGATGAAGCTTCCTCCAAGAAAGCACACTATTGGATGCAAATGGGTTTAAAAGATCAAACATACGATAAATGGCTCGATAGAGAGATACAAGGCTCATTTGGTTGCTAAGGGATTTACATAGCAAGAAGAGGTTGATTATTTTGAAACATTTTCCCTTGTAGCCAAGTTTAGTATAGTGAGACTTCTTCTTGCTTTAACATTGACACAAAACTAGTTTTTGCATTACTTAGACGTAGGTAATGCCTTTTTAC